AAAGAATATGCGAGTTTTGTTTATCTAATATAGAGGACGAATACCATTTTGTTCTTATTTGCCCATTATTTCACTCTATGCGAAAACAGTTAATTCCTGAGTATTTTTGGCATCTGCCCAATCCAGAAAAATATTACAGTCTAATGCGCTCAAAATTAGCAGGTACTACGGTACTACGTAATCTTGGTAAATTTCTACATAAAGCATTCAACCTTAGAAGGGAGTTTTTGTTACTATCGGTATTATAATTTTGTTATATATATATATATGTATTTTACAATTTCTGTTCATTCTCCAGTGCTTGTGTATTCTTTTTTTTATGTATAGTCATATGGGCCTGTGGCCTAAAAGACAATAAACAATAAACAGATATAACGAACTATATTAATAGTAAATAATCGTGCTATACAGACTGGCACTATTCACTATAATAATTTATTATACGGTGTAAATAAAGCTGTTTGTACCTTATATATTTACATTTTGCAATGAAATTCAAAATTTCCTTTCCAGTTTTTCAGATGCATTTAAAGCGGAGGGAAGGACGTCGTCACCTGCTCAGGCGCGGGAATTGAGTCCCAAACGATGATAAACAACACACGCTAAGAACGCAAAGGCCCATGGGTAGACGCTTGTTTGTAAGCAGTGACACGCTATGGCAACCTGACGCATGCGTAGGTGACAACTCCCCCGCTTTAAATATATTAAATATATTAATTAATTTAATTGTGTACGTTCTATATTAATTAACATCACAGTCACGGTGTGTTTAACATGTGTACAAACAGCTACACTCATATTTGCACTTATGTGTACTGTATATATTTACATACTGTGTTGAAATTAATTAAATAGTTGATATATGAATATTAAATAATTAATATTACGGTTCCGCTCTAGAATATATCGCCAATATCGGAAAAGATAAGTTTCGTAATTATAGTATATTCAGGATATACAAGCAAAATAAGAGACTGTTTAGTTAGATACTAAATGTTGAATTTCATTATGAATATATCTGTTTAAATATCCACTTAAAATTTAGGCATGATGATATTACTTTAATTCATTTTTTCTTGATTGATAAAATGCATATATACATTCGCTACTATTAACAACATTTCGATCCTAATTATTGACGTTGTGCACCAGCTTGTAGGGGATCAACTCAACATTAACAATTTGGACGCTATTCATGACGTAGGCTGTGTGACTGATATGGAACGCTTAAATGTGTTTGCATTTGTCTTAGCGTTCTGTGTATTTACTACAATTATATTGTACGTATCTACTACTGGCCTTACACTTGGGATGCCAATGCCGGCTTCGATACTGGTACATGAAGGAACACACGCTGATTACGAGGAGGCTGCTTTGCGTCGAAGGGAAACCAGTAACGTGGTGAGTAGTGCATTGCAAATAAACACCGGCGATAGCGATTTGTTCTCAATAAAACCGGGACAATTTTCCGAGTACATCGCAGTTGCTGCGAGAATACACAGCACGTACTGTGTCAAACCATACCATCACATACGGGTTAGTATCAACATATACATACCCTCGAAGAGTATAGCCAGGTTTATATCTTTTACGACGTGCCGGGCGGCGTGATTCTATCGCTTTTTTGTCACATTCACTAAATTAAGTGAAAGCAGTTATCTCCATGCAACACGTGTGCAATTAATATCAACGTAAATCACAATGAAATACTAAACCCCTTCACATATGCGTGTTATCGTTTCAAACACACGCTATGTAGTATTATTGCGCATGCGTGCATATAAAATACATAACGTATGAGCCCTACAATCACAACGGGTCATGTAGCCTCATCACCACGAATGACGTAATGATATAATTATTTGTTGTGGATCTATGGTTAAACATAATTTGTCAAATATTATTATAGATTCACACGAATGGATAATTACAGGAGTAACCATCGTGTAGCCATATAATTCGCCACGTCGTTGGTTTAATTGTAAAACCTACATAATCCAAGCAGCCTATCGAGATAAAAATAGCGTGACTAGTAAATCTAGAAAACCCCGACACCGAAATAAGTCGATGATCAGCGTATTTCTGTAACTATCACTGAGACGCTATTGCGTCGATGTCATTGATTGTATTTGCACGTCTGCGAGTATACAATGCTGTCATGCAAGGCTGTACGTTATAAAACATGTACGCACGCAGATATTTATAAACTCAAACGGCAGCTGAGCAATGTATTAGCGCATTCAGTGACGTGGGCTAATTTATGAACGAGCATAGACAATTCAATCGTTTCGGTTCAATTTGCATGAGACTAATTACAATTATTTTTTTTTTTTCATATTTTTTTTTTATAAATCTATTTTTAAGTATAAACATGCATTTAGACACTGTCGTCTAGACGGTGTAGAATGGCAAACGACCTATACGGGTTACGAGACTTGGTGAACTGAAAGTGATGTCGAACTCCGAAGAGAGCGCTTGCCATACAATGATTGACTTTGACATGGCTGCTATCACAGTCGGTCTAGGGCTACTTTTTCCAAACAAACTACCACGGATACTGTTATTGTAGTCTCAGTATTAGTTCCCATAGCAAAATTCACATCAATCGGTGGGATTTTTAATACAATTCGAACAACGTAATTCTAACATTTCCATTTATTCCAAAGTCTGTTCTAAGTGATGATATTTGTAGTACAAATCTGTATGATAATTATGGCGAGGACATCCCGCGGAATCTGATTATTGGAAATGTATAGCCATGTTAGAAGATCATATTCTTGGCGGGAAGGGCGCCCTTTGCGATCGAACAGTGCAGACGACACTTTTTGAACTGGTGGCACTTAATTTATTCAAAAAACGAATCTGTGCTCATGATCTGTGTTACACAAACAACAAACAGTAGATTTATTCCGGTTTCAATACACTACATAGCCCATCACAACTTCTGCTCGTGGTTAACTTTCATAAACACAATGTGACCTTTCAACTCTCTCTTTTATTTCTATCTATTTTACCCGCAACAGGGCGCTATTTAATAAGACTGTGAACTTGTGGTTTCAATTATAAACTTAGGGTATCCACATCTATAACGGTCTGAATGCGTCGTATTTTAACCAATTTTCACAAAACAACATTGCAGCAAATACAGATTCAGAAACTACTAACATTTGATATATCTGGCTATGTTTAGCAAGCTATAGTGATGCTCGGTAAGTATTTAATCTCCCAATGCACGCAGAGAACGAGTATATAGTTTTGAAAGCGGGTAATTTCTGATTTTGTATTCGATTATTCTGCAACGCACTAAACACTGCCTCCCAGGAGCCCACAAAAAGATAAATGATGGCAGCGTACATGCGTACTATACAATACAATACTGAGTGTTGAAGTGTTGGTCATATGAGCTCGAAAGTTATCAATTCCCTTCCCGAAAGGATGGAACTTAACCCTCAAAATTTATTGCACTTTTCGGCGGTCTATTTCCTATAAAGCATTTATGATTTACGTTAATCCGTAATGCTCTTATTTATTCGTCAGTCACCCAATGATGTGCCCGGATGTAGTATATAGTTTCGTGCTTGTAGTGATATATGGAAATTGGACAATTCTACGCTCGATTGAAGATAAGTTTTGGAACCTATCTCATTGAGCAATACATATGTTGAAGGGCCTGACATTATTCAGGGTAGTTGAGAATCTTTTCTCGCTTCCCTTCTTTCCTCCATTTATTGTTGCGTGTACGCCAGTCCCGGACGCAAGTAAACGCTTCAAGTAACCAATGTTTGTGTGCTAACATATTAAAGTGATCCTTTCTCTATAACATCACTCATCTTCCTGGGCTCATGTGGACACTCTACTATTTCATTGCAGTCGGATGTCAATTCTTTTTCGACGATTCCACCGAATGAGCATGCGCAGAATGTCAGCATGGATAAAGACCAACAAACACCTCGTCGTTATCTGTTACCGATCCAACGGTCAGGTGGCGGTGGTACTAATACACAATACTTTAATTTTGCCAATGCTGTTATGCTTGCCATTCTAACCAATCGGACCATCGTGCTCACCCCCTTCTTCCTGCACGGGGGTCACACCAGAGGATATATCGGCAGTAATATGCGGTCATTTAACAATACATTTAACGAACAGACACTATCTCGGATTGTACCAGTCGCCACAATCGACGAGTTTAAAAAGCACTGCCAAGGCAGTATCAGTGTTCTTTCATGGGAAAGGATTGAGGCGAAGTACATGAAGACCAGAGAAACTGTTTTCAAGAATATACTCAAAATAAAAAATTTGCCTCTGTACGATGAGTTGAACATAATAAGAGGAACACCTCACCCCGATGCTGTGGCATCGATCCATAAAGATGAACCATGCTTATCGATTTATCGCCCGCATGAAATGCATGCCAATATAACAGTACTGAATTACGACTTGGAGAAGCATGTGCATTCTCACCTGATTAGATCAGAGAAAATTCAACACTACGCAGATACCATATCGAAACATATTTGTGGTGGGAGACCGTATTTGGCGTTTCACTGGCGGAACAAGACAACCGAAAATGGGTAAGACTAATGTCCTGGACATTTCGAATTGCCAAAAAGTACCATACTATACCAGATGCTTACATGCGATTGACTTAACACAGTTACGATAAGATGTTTTATAAAAGAAATAGCAATGATTTATAATATAAGGCTATGCAATTGGCGTGAAATGCAATAATGCCTTTGGATTTGAAATTACGGAAATTACGAAATCATCATTCGCCTGACAAAGGGAGAGTCACTGAAGCGGTCACCGTTTGTCTAAGGCTATTTATTATAGTTTCTTATATATCTGTCAAGCATGTATTACGTGTATATGTCTTTTTTGAATTTGTCTAAAGTATTTCAAAACGCTCGTCCATAACGTTTTTTCAAAGTATCTTATAACTATGTCCAACACTATCGCTTTATTAAATTAAACTGGTATTTTCTCACGCCTAAATGAGGCAAGCATGTAATTGAAATCACATATAATTTAGAAATGTCTACGTCGTGTAAATTTTTTTTTCGAGTTATTTTCATGATTATGATTTATTTTTGAATATTCCTTCAATAATGATTTTTTTTTGTGGTAGGTGCATATTTGACAGATATGAAAAACAAGGGAATCTTAATACTTCTTGCACAAATCGGCTCCCAGAAGTTGCTCTCCTGGCTGAGTATGCAAGCACTGCAATTGCTGATATCATGAAAAAATTAAAGATTCACTGCATATATGTAGCAACCCCGGAATGGTCGAAGGTTAGTTGTGGTTAAAAATAAATTTTTACCGAAGAATTCGTGGTAGTTCGCGGGCTCCTTTATGTATGCCTCATGTTGCTGTTAATGTGAGAATTCCGATGGAATGAAAAAGTCTTTAATTCTAATCGTTCAACAAGTTTAATTAATACAACTTCATAAGTCTTGCGGATTAAATAGACGTTGTATGTTTTATTCGTTGGAACAATCCAACCATCTTGATAAATAATACATATAATCATTTATTTACATATTTTTCTTATATGAAGACAATATTACACATGCTTGGAAAACAAATTCCTCGGGTAAACATATACTCAACCAGTGATATCATCGATGTAGAAGATCTATCGTCACTCCGGGACGATTACTATTCTCTGTCACTCGTGGAGCAAGAAATTTGTTACAGTAAGTGTGCCGTTATGTAACGATATCAATGTTCAGAGTATGATGGAATACTAACACTTTCCAAAATCATTGTGAGAGGAGATGCACATGTTTAGAAAAGAAACAACTTGCAAACCATGAACAAACAAATCGTACAACGAAATTTGAATGCAATTACCCATTGCAGTGTCATTCGTCTGTTTTTATTTGTTTTAAACAGGGGCAGATTATTTCATAGCTTCGTGTAAGTCGCACTGGTCAAAATTCGTAATGGCTGATAGAGTTGTTGCCGGGAAGAATTACACGTGCACTAAAAACCTTCCTGGATTGGATGATCTTCAAATCGCAAGATTCATAAAAGATCAGAGCAGAAGAAAGAAATAATTACAGAACGTACAGAACTACGCATTTTATCAATACGATATGGACTCAGTGTGGGCAATCATTGTAGACAATCTGTTTTAGAAAAATCAACATATCATCGTACCCATTCGGTTTGCTGTGGTTAACTGGTTTTCTATTTCAATTTATCGAAGTCAATAATAGAGAAACACCAGAAATGTAGGAGAAATTGGAGGTCATGCTTTTTCTATATCTTCTGGCAATTATGAATTATTTCTTGCATTGAACTAAAAATAAATTGATTATTTTTTTTTTCAAATACAGATATGGAAACGATCGTTAATTTATATACAACAATATATGAACATTATTCGTTTTAACTTTAACCAGTTCAGCTTCTTTAACATTTTTAAATGAATACAATTAAACTTTTTGTTTATTATTATAATTCTAATTTTATAAATTAATTAATATATCAGTTTTGATATTGTAAGACAAATGTTTAGCTATAGCGCCCGCTGGCATTCGTGAAAAATCATCTTGGGAATTCTCTTATGAGTTTGACTTTAAAGTTTGAATCTATAAAGGCGTGATTTAAAGCGGGAGGGTCGTCACCTGCGCACGCGCGGGAACTGAGTCCCAAACTATGATAACAACACACGCTAAAAACAATGACACGCTATGGCCATCTGACCATAAGCTCGAACCACCATTTAACACAGATGTGTTACTTATAATGCAACAAACTGTTTAAATTGCTGTTGTGATAGAGTTTTGAGTTATCATATCAAATTTATTGGGCCTCAACAAAATCAAAATAATGTTACCATGTAATTTAGAGTCGTATTGATCAAGGCATTTTTTAATATTGGAATGCGTGGGGTGGGGGAATTTAGCATCCCTCAAGTTATGGTGAAAACATTTGTTCGGTGACCATATCATTTTATAATTCAATTCAGAACATAACAGTAACCATCCAAATCAGCCTAGGGGTGAGGCAATTATCATATTTACTGTTCCAAAAACATTGTTATGTCCGTGTTTATTTAAACATGTCACGGCACTTAATTCCTAATGCCACTCTTTGGACATGGGAGTCAAGTCTGACATTGGTTGGAACATTTATATTATATTTGAAAATGAACACTGTGAAGGGAAAACTGGGTGGTCAAACATGTTAGCAAAGAAACCAATATAAGCACCCCTACTCAGCTCACCCCACTGGGAATTAAATTACTTTTTTATAAAGTAACTTTTGATGATTTCATGTTTCTGATGGATAACACATTTTTATTTCGATGCCCATTCATGGGGAGTCCATCATACTCAACAACAGGTATTGTACTTTATTTTTATTATATTTCTTCAAAAGATCCATTTTGCTAGTAAATTCTGCCCCCACACTATTAAAAGAATGAGTTGTTGGTCAAAAGTTTAATCGCGTGCAACTATTGGCTAAGCTTGTTTTTACAAAAGATCAAATGAGTATAAGAACCATTGATGCAACTGAAGAGTATATTGGGAGCAGTGTAGAAATTCGTGTTTGGAATGTCTGGTTGTAAAATGCTGTTTCGTTGTCTTCAATATGTAACCTGATATATGTTGATGTTTGGTTGTTCAATTATGAATACAATTTGTTTGGCGGGTGAAAGATGTGTTGGCTGATGGGTCATTTGTTTAGACACCTTGTAGTTTGAAATGTTATGGTACTAATCAAAATTAGACATGGCTATGTCTTCTAATAAAATGGCAACAAAATGATTTGACAGTACTGTCCCTGAAGTACTGTCGGGAGTGTCTGATACACTGCTGTGACGAAGGTTTACAGGTTAAATAATCAGTAGTAGAAACATCAGTACTGCTATTTTTCATCAACAAAATCTGTGGAATGTTTTAAATTAATGCTTTCTTCCTAACTCGAGCCATTCGATCGAGAATATGGCTACTGGATGTAGTTTGGTTCACCATATATTACTTTGAAGACGGTTCTAAAAAAGCCCCCCCCCTCTCGACGCAAGTAAATAATAGGAAAAAATTCGAATGACTCTACCCTAAAATTTAAGTAATACTCAAATTTGGGGTAACTAAAATGCAAGACACAGCAAATGTTCAATCGCGCTCATTGGCCGTTGTTTCAAACCCCGGGCAAACTGTATAAATGAAATATTTGAAAATCCAAACAAAATAACGTAATGTCCGAACAAAATAATGGTTAATCTAAATGGTTTTGATTGAATGTCCGAATAAAGGGATCAAATGTATCAATAAAATGATGTAATATGAATGAAACTATCAAAATACGATGAAAATGATGTCATATCCAACTAAAAAGTAAGCATATAGGAAAGAATTTTAAAATTGTATTTCAGATTCGAAATCTTTATTAAAATACCTTTCATGTGAAGTATTACATGATACATTTTGATACATTAAATAATTCTTTTTTTTGACACACCGAAACTGACCGATAACCTATATTCTTCTTTTACCACAAATGATAGAGTCATAAACACAATATCCAAATAATGTCCTCTCCAGGAGCCACCAAACTCAATCTGAAGCTGGTTTAATTGATGTGGTTAACCCGTTGTGTATTTCACGGCAATATAGAAAACATGCAGACTGGTACATAAAATATTGTTATAGCTGATTTTTCAGTATAGAGAATAGTGTAAACTTAAACTTATAAAACGTAAATCGAACATGCAAATACAATCTAAGTTACAGACAATAGTTGAAGAACTAGTACCATCACCAAGTTTGGATTTCTGCATTTTCATTTAAGTGTCAAACACTCCCGTAAACTAACTATGTTATGTTTCGAGTTCTCATATAGATAATCTAATAAAAAAACTGAAATCATATAGCTGTCTGGAAAATCTGAATCTAAACTTAGGATACCGCCTTGTTCACCTAAACCTTCGTGAATTATTTTCAGAGCCTTTGAGGTACGTTGCACATCTTCAAAGGTATGGTAGTTGCCATTGGTTAATAGCGTTCCTGGAAGATAAAATTCGTGCATGAGATATAATAAATATATATATAACTTTCTGTAAGCAACTCTGTTAATACTACTAGTGAGGATAGCGGTGTGAGTGAGGTGGATACTCGAGTAACTTAACTTGACGATGAAATTTTAAGTGGAATTGGCAACTGTAAATTCATATTTAATAATGAACTTCGATATATGCAGTAATTGTGTAGTGAGTAGTTTCACATAAGCAATTTGCTACTCTAGTGTAAGTAAATTGTGGTAAGTAATTGAGTATATATATTTAACACAGCCGGGTCTACAGACCACAAGTCCGATGCAGCAACCACTATACGACTAGTGACCAGTCCCAGTAGTGGTTGGCACCAACTACCACTCTCATGTGCATTCTGATGAGAATTAATCAACGAGAAACAAAATCACAATGTAATAAGGACTGTGATGTGTTGGTATGAACTGAGTAAAAAGTAAAAAAAAATGCATATCCGAATTCAATTCAATCAAGTAATTATAGTGTCAGTACCAAATACATATGTAATTATTAATTATAATTAATTAATTATAGATAGAATAGAAAGATTACCAAATAAAGTGTAATATGACCATACCTGTTTTCGGTGGAAATGAGACTGATGCCTGGATTAACCGTAAATCTCTATCGAATATCACCTTCCGAACATTGGAACTCAAACCAGGTGGCAGTATATATGCCGGCGTGAACCCGATTTCTTTCATCCGTTGTTCTGTGCTGGTCACTGACATGCGCAGAATGTCTTCGTTTTGTTCCGCCCAATTATTCCTTGATAGAGGGCCACTTGCACGAATGTTTATTTCAAAACGTTTGCTCCATTTTATGACTAGATCTGGAAACATTTCCACAAAGTCGCCATATACAAACAGAGTCAACGGCACGTTGAATCTATACGCTGATATGGTATCAACCAGTCGTATCGCTGTCTTCAAATTCATTCCTATCTCAATGACGACGCTAACCATTGTATGTCCGTGCTTAGGAATGCATTTGTCTAGAATTGTTTGCCTTGCTCCTGGTGTGTTCTCTGGAATCTGTGGAAAAATAAGAGTGAAAAATAATCGTGCATTTAGGGATAAATAAGTATTTTTTTAGTTATACAATCAGGAAAGTTTTTATTTGTGTACCACGGAAAATATATTTTCAGGAATTATTTTCATCTCTGTAAAGCATAATCAGGTTTATAATGCAGTAATAAAATTGACGCAATTTAATTTAGTATACCAGCTGGAATGATTATGACAGGTTAAAGTGCTGATATTTTGTATTTTATGAGCATTGCGTTACTTTTCATCTGCACACTAGGCAAATAAATACCTTGGTTAAAGGGCAGTGGTCGTCGAGCCGCGCCCAGTTTTGATATGGCACTCCTAGCGACGTACACGACGCGTTTTTTACTTGAAATTCGAATACGCGATTTACGACGACCACTACCCTTTATGTATGTGTTTACGCAAGCGCCTTACCAATATTTCGTGCATATCATCAAAGTCATCATATCTGCGTTTCTCTCCAATCCAGTCTATCAACTTCACTCCTGCAATTTCCATCCTGTCCGCTATATCTATTTTTTCATTTGCACTTAGCCCAGTGGGTTGCCAGTCATGTAACTCCCCATAGAACCTAATACATATTCATTGAAACAAAAATATGTAGATGACGTTTAGGAACAAGACGTCGTTTTTTATAGTAATACATTTGTGGTGATAATCTTGTAAATGCCTCGTAAATAAAGCACCAACCATGCCGCGCATTGCAATTGTTACGAATCAACAATATTCACAATGACGTCGGCTTACTACTTTGAGCGCCAACGTAAACTTTTGCCAAAAAATAAAACAATCGTGCAACATATTTTATTCAAAATTATGATCGAAACCTGCAACCAGAGAATAAAAAAAAACTTTTATATAAAAATTGTCAAAAACATTAATGAAAAATACAGGAAGGATTCAAAATGTTATCGCGTGAAGCAATACACACTGTCAAACCAATGCGATGATCAGCAATTCCAGAATACATTTTAATGTTGAACATTTTCGCGAAGACGACATTATATATTTTGCGTAGGAAACCACACACATTGAAGAAGGCGTCCTACGACCACAAACAATATAACCCAGTAGTTAGTTTTATTGCGGTGTCATTTTAATAGTAATCTTCCGAACGGTTTCCCCACAACAATTTATTTCTTTTTTTAGGTTATTTCAGGTTTAGTATTGATGAATACAAACTCTATTTATACTATAGCTTTTGTCTGCGTAAGTGTGTTCAATATTGATGGGATATAATA